TTCATATGAAGTATGCGGGCCCCGTGTGAGCCACCAGTGCTTCGCCTCAATCGAAGAGCCTTCATGAAGTGCAGGGTTGTCTCGCTAAGGATGGTAAAAGGCTAGGGTGGAATCAGGATGACGAGGTGGACGAGCATTAATAAAACAATCATACTACATGCATATTCTTATTTACATTAAATTCGACATTTTAACACGAGGCATCCATCATAACCATTGATTTTTGCACCACCCTTTCATATCACTGCTCAAATTTTGACACATAGGAGGAATTGTCAATAACAACATAAGCAACAATGTATATATAGCTTAATTCTCAATCAAATCCCCATTAACATATTTTATTTAATTTTTATCTAGTTCTTAAATGCGATGTAATTTGTAATTCATAAAATAAAAAATTGTAGGTGGGTTAGGGCTGTGGCCACCTTTTCCATCCTGAGTATCCAACGAGGTGAAAATTCCCCAACCCATTTGAAGATGGACGAGATCACGTCCTTTTGTCATTCCTACACCTCACTTAGGCCATAATGACATAATCGCTTTGGTAGAATTCAAAACTTTGGCTTTCGATACCGTCGAGGAGGGAGGGCTCACTGAGGTGGGTTCGCCCCCCTCTTGTGCCTTGGAAGGAGAAGCAATTGGAGAGCCTATTTGCATTAGGAAAATTTGTTTTTTTTTTTTTGTCTACTAAGGCAAGGAGAATCGATTGGATATACTATTTGCACTAGGAAAATTGTTTACGTTTTCCCATAGCATTAACTATGGCAGTTGAGGTGGAGTACGTAGATAGTCTCAAAGAAGATAGTGTAGGAGATATTACATCGATAATGTGTATAATATTCATCAAGAACATGCCGTTAATATGCGTGAAATTGAAACATCATTCGACTTACCGAAATCTGATTTGAGAAGATAAAATAGCGATTTACCGACTTCGAATATAATAATATGAATTCTTCACTTCTCAATATGAGTGAACGCATGTTGTTTTTCAATTCAAACTCTTCAATAAAACACATAAATAAATTAACCATATTCTGAAATCAAGCATAAATAAAATCAGAAATGAGAAAGATGAAATACAAGTGATGCGATCAGTCGAGACAAGTGTTTGACACTTTTTCCTTAAGATGAATTTGCCCCGCATCGGTGCTAACGGTTTCTCGACAATCATCTCCCAAGATACAACGACCACGTCAAGCCATAGGAGCACTCCAAATGACTTAGACCAACGAACTCGAATGGAGTTCCCTTCCTACCATAACCATGATTTTGATGTAAGAAATAATCACTTCTATAAAGTGTTTTATGCAAAACTAAAGCAAAACATGAAATGATATGAAACTATCAATTAAGCCTATGTTTGAAACCCATTCTTTTACTCATTCTCTTTCTCATTTTTTTCTCTTTCTTCATTTCAACCACACATTCTATCAATAAAATAATATTACACATAAACCCAAAAATTCTCCTTTCTTTTTAACCACACATTCTTCCATCAATCACTATTCCAAATCAAATTTCTTCCCTAAAATGGGTGTCAAACAAGGCCTAAATTGTTTCTTGTTTCTTCTTGTTGTTATTGTGATCCAAACATATGGGGAATCCATATATATAGTAGTTGGAAAGGCTTGTCAAGAGACACAATCATACCAAGAGACACATCTCTTGAATATACATAATTATTGGAAGTTACTTATACCAAAAGTCACGATCTCCAAAGGTCATGATATTCCATATGAAAAGACACATCTTGTCATCTACATCATCTCTAGAATATTCCACAATATTCTACAAAATTTTTCAATAATTTCAAGTATTAAGTGGTTTAAGTTTGGCTTAATTTCTCATTCACCAAATAAGGAATTTCCACTTAAATCATTTCAATTGGTCACAACTAATTTCCAATACAAAATTCTAACAGATAGAAATCTTATAATTTCATAATTCTCACCCAATAACTTGTGTTATTTGGGAATCAGGGAACATTCGAAAAAACATTTTAGCTACATGATGAGAGATCCACTACAATGTATGAAAATGTCCGTATAATAGAAAATGGCATGTGTGTCGGAGTATTTAAATTAAATTAGCATAGTGGGTCCTACAAAATATAATTAATAAGTCGTGAATACGTAGAATGCATAGGTAAAAATTGTGTTTGAATCGCTTAAATTAAATTGACTTACCAAACACACACATGATCAAAGACTTTTGTGACGAGGACAAAACTAGTAATTGAACAACATGTGTCCAAATGTTTGAAGTCATTCTTGACGACACACGAGTACCATTGACCTTATTGTCCTATAAGCGTTCCACGCTCGATGGATGGAATGCATGAAAATCAAACCCCATCCGCAACTCTATCTATTTATAATTTTTCCACATGGTGCAAACGACTGCCACACCAATCATCGGAACATATTCCTTCACATGTTAATAGCGTTCAAGTGTACATGTAATTAATGTTCTAAAAAGCGCGCCTCAGCATGAAGGGTGGACAAAACGCCCCGCTTTCGAGCCTAGGCGTGTTTTTTTTTTTAATGTAGTAATTTATAATTTTAGATATTTGGTATGCATTATTTTAAATATTAAATAATTTTTAGATTGATTAAAAATTTAAAATAATATTAAAATAAAGAAACTTTTTTATGTCGAGGCACGCCTAACTCGAAACTTCACCTTCACGTTTAATCATGTCTTGCGTTTTTTTAGAACACTGCAGGTAACATATAGATAGATGGAATGGTGGCGAAGAAATCCATTAAAAATATTAAATTCTTTGTAACACAATGAATAATTCATTCTAAATAAAGGGATAATAAATTTACGAGTCGTAAATGGTTCGATGGAAAACCTGGTATAAATTGGGATTTGAAGGCTAAGCAAAAAAATTGTATAACATCCTCGCCCAAGCAACAACTCTTCAACCACACATTTCATTGTCTTTTATTAATATTTACAAAAAGCTTAATTTTAATCTCCTCCAAACAGGGGCTAAAAATGATAAAGTATTTACAGTTTCTAAAGAGTATTGCAATGCCTATTGCGATATACATATAATTATTTAGTTATCGTCTAACATAGACTATATAATCTCGTTAAATGTTACATATTCTTGCAATCTTTAAACTCTTTAACACCATCGTTTATTTCTTTAAACGACGGCTCTGGTTTTGAAACTAAACTCTCTATCTTACACAAGTTAAAGAGAAAAAGTTATTTTCACATGCCTTTTAGATCAAATTCACAGTAAATAAATCTAAAATGTACTTTTCTTAAAAGTCCAAAAAAAAAAATTCTTCTACGAACCAAATTAGAAATCGAGAAAGTTAAAGATAATTTTGAAAGTCGAAAGAATGTCTTTGATATTATCATAAAACTAAGCTCTTGGCGAGATTAAAAGAAAAAATACAAAAGGTAAGAATTTTTCTTCTGTGTACTCAAATTAGATATAGGATTAGGGATGGCAACGAGGCGAGTATGTGACGGTCGATTATTCCCACCCTCATCCCAAATATTTTTGTCATCTTACTCCATCCGTATACTTGATTAAAGAAGAACGGGGCGGAGCGGGGTAGGTACATTGTGCCATTTATCGTCCCGTTTTATATTTTTATATCTTCAATTAGTAAATATTATTATTATTTTTTTCAATTTATTAAAAACAACTTACGTTCTTTCTAAAAATGACTATGACTCTTTTTTTTAATAAAAAATTTAAATTTAAAATTAACTTTAAAAGGGATGGATACTTCCACACGTCCCATGCCTGCTTCATAACGATGACTCTCGCCCCATTCCGACCCTTATATTTTTTATTTTTTGCCATCGGGATCCATCACCAAGGCAATAGACAAGAAAAATAGGGCTACGTGACAACATTTTCTTCCCAAACACACAACACACGCAAAACTTCCTCTTAATACACGAAACCTCCATCGCTAATCTCCGCTGTCTGTATAAGCGCACAGGAAATCGATTCTTTGCCACATAGCAGAGAAAAAGAGACCAGGATTTATGAAATACAGTGCAGTTGGCGTTCTTATTCTCTCTCATTATCTGTAAATTTCGACAATATTCAGACTTCGAAAAACAACTCATTCAAAGGCGGTGAGGTCGAGAATGGTGTGCGGAAGACTGGAAGGGTATTGTTTTAATATTTAATGTTATTCTAAAAAATTCGTGGTCAGTCTGTTTTTTAATTGTTAAGATATACTGGGACTGTTTCCCAATTTTTGGTAATTTTCTGTGTTACTAACCGTTTGAACGTGAGGATTTTTCTGGGATTTTGGAATATTTTGTTGTTATTGGATGGTTTGGGTGTAGGGTTTGATTATCTTACCGTTTTTATTTATGGGCACGAGTGTTTATTGAAGGATTGCGTTGTCTTGGGACGATTTATGCATGGAGTAGGGTAATTTACGGCTGTTTATTGAATTTTTTAGACACTGAGACACAAGACTGTTCTTGGTGCGTTTTATCTTGGTCAGCGAGGCCGTGAGAATCCCTTGTTGATATTGTTTCCCGGAATTGAAAACTGCAGAAGATTGGATTCTGAATAAATTTAGCAGTTATTTTTTCAATAGACTAGACCGTATATGTAAATTGTACAAAGAGAGAAAAAGAAACGAACACCAGTTCCCTGTATATATGGAATAATTCAGATTCCTTTATTCATAAGCGGACTTTTTTGGAGGAATTTATTGGGGTTTCTATGGATTCGGTTAGTGCAACACTAGCCACTGAGTTTTAAAACAGCGCAGTAAGGGCTTTGACCTAAAGGATAAACTATTTAGTGCATAGGATATTTCAGATTAAGATAAAATTTTGGATTGACTTTTTAAAAAAAAGGCATTCAATTTTGTCTGGAAGGGGAGACGTGTGGGTTATCAATTCGCACAGTGCTGTGGATACACAGTCATTAAGTAGAAGAAGACAAGTAGATTATCTTTCCCATTATTCTTTGCATTCTATGATGTTTGGCATCAGTTATGGAAAGAAGTGAACCCACATTAGTACCAGAATGGCTGAAAAACTGTGGAAGTCTGGCGGGTGTTGGCACTGCATCACATTCAGGTAAATGTTATCATCTTTTTGAAATGAACATCTTATATTGGATATATCCTAGTTTGTAGGCTTGAACTATTTTTAACGTGGTTTTGTTGTTTTAGATGATCATTCTGCATCAAAACTAGCAAGCGATAAGTCATTTGTGGCAAGCAATGGTCATGATTTAGGGGGTACGGACAGAACTACATCATCTTTCCATTGGAGATCCAGTAGTAATGGTTCTGGTCACTTGAGGTCCTATGGTAGTTTTGCAAGGAATCACCGCAATAGGGAATGGGAGGACACATATGGTTCTCGTGATAAAGAAAGGGACCGTAGACACGAGTACATTTCAGATCCATTGGGGGGCAACATTTTGTCTAGTAAATTTGAGCAGGACAGTTTGAGGCGCTCACAGCCGATTTCTGGGAAACATGTGGATTCATGGCCTAAGAAAGTTGCAACTGATTTGAGCAATACCAGTGGAAACAACAGCAATGGTCTGCTCACTAAGGGTAGTCCTATTAACAGTGTCAACAAAGCCTCTTTTGAGAGAGATTTTCCATCCTTGGGAGTGGAAGAACGACCGGCCACTCCAGAGGTTGGAAGGATTCCGTCTCCCGGCTTGAGTACTGCTATTCAGAACTTACCCATTGGTACCTCAGCCATGATAGGTGGCGAAAAATGGACATCTGCTTTGGCAGAAGTGCCCGTTTTAACTGGAAGACTAGCTAATCCTTCAAGTTCTGCCCCTATGGCTTTGGGCACAACCACTGGTCTTAATATGGCTGCAACTGTGGCTCAGGGTCCTGCTCGTGCTCAGACTATGCCTCAGGTAGGTTCAGTTTTTCCTTATTTTTGGAGATAGTTTTGAAAATTGTTTTGCTAATGGTTGTTTTTTGTTTTCTTGTAGTTGTCTGCTGGAACTCAGAGACTTGAAGAACTGGCGATAAAACAATCTAGGCAATTGATTCCGGTAACGCAGTCCATGCTGAAACCCTTGGTAAGAGTGAGATACCTTCATTTGCTTTGAAATTCAATATGCATCCTTCCTATATGAATTTGTATTCTATTTAGTCATTTGGTAAAATATAGCATCGGATAGGTTTCCCAATTTTTATATTCTGCTTTAATAAATCTTGAATTGTGTTTTCCTTCTTGGGTACTGTTTAGGATTGTTAATATTAGATGCTGGTTGAAAGATTCGATTAGTTTTAGATAGAGGTTTGAGGCTGGTACATGGTTACCAAGTGTGAAAATTTGGTTGTAGAGATTGATTATGATAAATCACATTGGTGTAATTAGCGATTTAAACTTGAAAGTATACAAACAATTGGTCCATGAGAGACTTGAAAATAGCTATTAAATCATGCTGTTTATGTGGCTCATATAGAGTGAAACGAATGTAAACGCATATTTACTCATATTTATGCGTTTTTACTTCTCTATTATTCCGTATAAATTCCAAAAAATAAAGACGGTTTAGTCTTGGAAACTCTAATTGATTTGCTTCAGGATAGATGTAAAATACATTATACACAGAGAGGCACGTGTCTAGGCACTAGGGAAAATGTGGTTGTCATGGTCTCTCCTACATATTTCTCCATCGGAGTTAATATTTTTAAATGGTTATAAATTTTCGTGACATAAATATAAGAAATAGGGTGAATCAAATATCTGTGTGTAGTTCTTCAGCTGAGATAAACGGAGACCTGCTGGAGGACCTATGGTAACTCTTCTGAAGAAAATAATTATTCTATTTTATGATGTTAGAAAGAGCAGTTATCGTCAATCAATAAACCATCCCAGCCAAAATTGACACTGCTACCTTCGCAACTTTATCCTTCACGTTTGTAGTGGTTCATCCAACTTTTGCATTAGTTAACCATATTAGTATATTACAATTACCTGTTCTCGAAATCGTTCTCTGCTCAATAGTGATATTCCCTAATTGCAGGAACATTTTTACTATCTTAAGAAAGGCATAAACAAAGAGGAATCTATCCCTATTAATCTTTTTCTTCTTGTCTAGCACTTTCTAGTTTCTAGAGAGAGGATCTGCTAGATAGAGAAACAGAAAATAGGGTTATTGTGTCAAAATGTGGTGTACCAGGGTTTTTTCTGCATTCACTTTCTTCACCGTTTTCATTTTTTGTGTCAGGGTTTTATGGGTTTTTTTGTTGTTTCGATTGGCGAAAGTCATCCAACGGGAATGGTATTTTGATGAGGATGATATGGTAAAACAAGTGATTTTTACAATTGAAAGTAGGAATAAATTTTGGACTGCAGGACTAATGTCTAGAATTTGACAATTATTATCTTCATACTTGTAAGGCAGATTTTTCTTCCTTTTTTTTTTTTTTTNTTAGCCTTTTAAACAATGATCTTGCTTTAAATATAGATTCTGCTGATGACTACTTTCATTGGTTTTGATTGCCAAAACGCTTATAATTCACATACAGAGGAAAAGTAATTTATGATTTCCTTTACTCTTATGATTGTTATTCATGATTGATTGATTTCTCATTTTTAATATGTGGCATTTGATACCATGTCAGTGGAGTCATTTTCAGCAAACTGAAGGTCCAAATGATTAGGGAATTTTTGTCGAGATGTTAACTAGATTAACTTCTAATGAAGGTCAAATGCATTTTTTTTTTTGCAGCAACCATGTAAAGGTTGTTATTCTGTGTTACGTCATTTCTCAATCACATTAGTTTTGGGTTGAAAATGATTGAACTGGAAGAATCATAAGATGTACCAGCCAATCAACAAAGATGTCTTCATTGGTTCTCTGCAGAGTCGTACTTTCCATTTTCCAAAAGAAAGAGAGAAGTTCTGAAAGTTGTAAAATAAGCCCTTTATTTCATTTCATATCTCAGTTCTCCCCCTACCTACCTGATTTTAAATCACTGAGAAAAGTGGAGCCAGTGGCCCAAGGATGAGAGGGAAAAAAGATCAATAGATTGGTGACAATAACAAATGGCAAAAAGAGATCTTTATTGGTTCTACATCCTATCTTTTATTAAGAGACTGATCTTTTTCTTGAATGTTTAGGAAAAAATAAGGGCCCGGATCTCGTGTGTGAATAATGTAGATTGATATGAAATATGTTCAAAACCAAATACACCACCTTTGGGTGCATACTAACTGTATTGATCGATTCGTCTAATAAATAAATCTTATTGTGACTTTGAATATTGAATTCAACGGGATGAAATAGGATAGGGTACTCTTTTAAGTCTTTTGGGGGTGTGATAGGTTGGCTAACTTTTGACGACAGCAAAGGAGAATTTTAGAGTGAAGAGGAAGCCAGTGGGACAATAGGGAGCAACTAGCTTGGTGACAGCTTATGAGTAGTTGTGTCGTAAATGTCAATTTTCCTCAAACTCTTTGGCGTTGAAGGCAGAAAATGATGATTATTTAGTTAAATCCAAACCATGATTCAATGCATGCATATATATAATACCTTGAAATGGAATGTTTATTAACTTTTATGGAACTTCATACTTCATCTCAACTTAACACAATCCAACATTTGAATAGCCGAATCTTTATTTTTAAACTTGCAACTGTCTCTATCACACTTCATACTTTATTATTATTATTTTTTTGATATGTTAATTTCCAGAAGTTACATCTCTTCAAAGTAGCTATTGAATATCCAGGCCTTGGAGTGTTGTTTTATCTTCTTTTTCATGAAACAAATTATTAATTGCTATCAGAAATTGATTTGTTGACCCATTGAAATGATGTGTAGAAAGCTATATTTTTTGAGAAATCCACAAGGGCAGACATGAGAAAGCTCATGCTTTATGTGCTTTTGAGGTCATTTGGCATAATATGAACGTACAACTTAGTATCTTGTGCTATTTAGTTTTTGATAAATTTAAAGATATGATTAATCATGTCAAACTATTCCTTCAGGTCTTGACTTCTGATAAACAAAAAACTAAGGGGGGTCAGCTACAGCATCCGGTTTCGCCTTCACTTTCTGCTAGTCACTCTCCTCAGGGTGGGCTCGTGAAGTCTGATGTTTCGAAGACAAGCAATGTCGGAAAGCTCCATGTTCTCAAGCCAGTGCGAGAGAAGAATGCGGTATCTTCTGCTGCAAAGGATAACCTGAGCCCAACGAGCTGTAGCAAATTAGTAAATTCCTCCCTTTCTATGGCTCCATCAGCTTCTGCGGCTTCTCCCAGTGTGGTCCCATCAAACAACTCAATCATTCCTGGTGCTGAGCACAAGCCTGCATTGACTGCGCTGGAGAAGAGACCCACTCAAGCTCAAAGTCGAAATGATTTTTTCAAACTCATGAGGAAGAAATCCATGGCAAACTCGTTGTCTGTTTCAGATCATGGTACTTCTGTGTCACCACCTGCTACAGATAAGTTCGGTGAATTAGAGGTCACTGCTTTAGGTACTCTTAATGCTTCTGATGCGCCATTGTGTGTAAGCCCTAGGGGAGGCCATTTGTCTGACAAGAATGGTGACCTCACTTGCAATGGTGATGCTTGTGAAGGGCAGAAATATGTCAGTAATGGAAAGAAACATCAAAGTTCCGATCCTATAATTTCAGAGGAGGAGGCTGCCTTTTTGCGCTCCATGGGCTGGGAGGAGAATGCTGATGAGGGTGGTCTTACTGAAGAAGAAATCAGTGCTTTCTACAGGGATGTAACTAAGGTGAGAGATTCTGCATAATTGTTTCTCGTTAATAAATTTATTTGCATCCCCGTGCTTCTCGTTGCAAAATTAAATGTTTCTTGCGCTATTGTGCAGCACATCAATTCGAAGCCATCACTGGAAATACTGCTAAAAGTACAGCCCAAGTTTTTGTTGCCCATAGACTCGCAAATTGGGAGCATTGGTGGCATTTCTTCTGGATTGAGCTCATCTGAAACTAAGCTGGAATCTTGATTTTCTGACTGGGTTAGCCTGGGGCATGGAGTGTTTTTCCATTATATTGTTACCAAGTTTCTTCAATTGACACCAAAGTTCTGTTAGCTTAGTAGGGCGTTGAAAGAAGGGAGAAGGTTGGTTTTATATTTTTACTGTTGAATGAAAGAGGGAATAGGAATAAGTACCGATGATCCAATCCCGATTGTCTTCTGATTAATGTTGCCTGCTGAACAGGGTCTTAGAGTTTTCTGAAGTTCAAAAGTTTGAGCAAAGACGTTGCTTATATGCAAATGTCTGGGTTTTTGAATAGGGGGATCTGTCAAACAACCAATTATGGTATTTTAAAGTCTAGGAAAGAGAGAAAATTAATAATTTATTATCTTTTGCTTTTGTTCATCCATTTTTACTCGGAGGTTTTGAATATTAAGGCAGAATCGGCCATAATTTGAGTTTTCAAATAGCTTCGAGGGATATGTGGAGATTAGTGCCATGTGATAGTTTACGGCTATTGACCACACCTTGGTTATAAGTAGATAGGGGCTAGCTATGGAGTTGAACTAAAGGCTCTCTCTTGATGTAGACAAGTTTGTAAATTAATTTTAGCTTGGAGGGACTTCTCTTGAGTGATTGTAGATATTAGCTGCATTCTTACTCACTTGGTCCATGCATATTGCTCTCTTGAGGTGGTTGGCTGCCTATCCTAAATCTTCCCGTTTCCAAGAAGATCCCCGGCTCGATTGGATTTAGTATCACGGTGTTTCCGTTACTCGGAAAATGTGTTGGGAAATTTTTCTTTGGCTTTAGAATTTGGGAGTTGTAGCTCTCAGAAATAGTGGAGAAACTTTGTACCTACCATACAATACGACTTCCTCCAATAGTATTGGATATAGAATCAATTTTTAGTACACATTTTTTGGTATATGGTTTTGGACAATATTGAAGTGAAGTAAACTTTAGTTTCTTTTTCTTCTTCAATCCATTTCAGTGAGCATGTCATTAAGGTATCTTCGATGAGTTAAACTGAACGAGAATTTAGGACGAGTTCGTCTAATTATTTCTAGCCCAAATATCAAACATGATATCAAGGTACTCTAGGAGGCTAAAATTTTAATAAATAACTACATGTAACCTTAGAAACAACATAAGTTTTTGGACGATACCATTTAGCATAGTACCAAAGTAAGCAATTAAGCAAAAGGCTTGAAACTTTCATCGCATCTCGTTCATGAAATTTGGAAAAATCTTGAGACTTTCGATGAAACATGAGCTCACACGTGAGAGGGTTTGTTTTTGAATTTAAATAAATAATCGTGTTTCATCGTTGACAACGAATAATGTGATGGTGAAACATCAATATATGGGACATAAATTTTTTTTATAAAACTTTCCTATTCCGATTGTAGATTTACATGGTTCTTGTTTGGTTCAGTTAAAAAAATTAATTAAATTTAAGTTGAAGTCAATAATTTATTTTAGTTACGTATTTCAAGGAATTCACAACTTTTCTAAAGACATTCCACTTGTTTTTATCGAAATTTATTAAAAATCAGATTTTGATGCACAAGAACACGGACAAGCCCCAAACCTATCACAGGGGACAGTAGCATGATTCTTTATCTAAACCAAACATCAACGTGGTTTAGAAAATTGTCCATTATTGCTAGCTAGGGTTGGACCATAATTGATTCCAGCTGTATCGTTAGGGACCGTTGCATTCAAATTCTGGGACTCATAGAATGGGAACGGCTGTCCTATTACGACCTTAGCTAGACGTAAAAGGTTGAATGACCACGTAACCTTCATTATAATATCTGAATTATTAGTAATTAGAGGTGAAAGAGGAACCATGGTTGCATTACAGAATTCTTTTTACAGGCGGTTTATAGACAACACACATGATGGGGTCGATAAATTTTTTTTTTTTTTTTTAATACATGTTGAGGCCCGCCCCTTACGAGTGGTGTGTAAGACCCCTGTGAATAAATCCCCCGTACATGGGGATTTATTCGTGAAAGAGTGATGATTTTTCACCAAACGGTTTGCTATCTTCACTCATTTTGTCAAGAATATGTCAAGAAAATCGCCGTTAAATAATATAACAAAATAAACTCGAAAGATTTAATATAATAAACTTGACAAATAAGCACACAAATAATTAGATTGAGGAGTTACTTTTTATATTAAAAAAATGTTTCCGATCATTTATAACTAAAAAGTATATATGAAAGAAATAGTTTTTTTTTCCTAATTGAATATAATTTCCAGTTCTTATTTTTTTTTATCGAAAATCTAAGTAGTTAAAAACAATATTAACATACTTTTTAAACATTAAAATCCTCGAGTTTTACAACAGTAGAGTCAAATCCTCACATGGAACTTTCAGATAAGAAACAAAAGTATATATCAAAATCCCAAAGATCAAAATAAATTTGTATAGCAAATACACCCACAATCACCTAAAATTACTCATCTTCCAATCTGTCAACAAAAATACATCAAAATTCAAATCCAGATTCTATCATGGGTAATGCCTGTGATTTTGGACAGAACGAAAAGACATATATGGTAGAATCGTATCCATAAAATACGACTTTTTCCCTCGTCTGGCTCAGGAAAAATTATGGGATTATTGAGATATTCCCGATATTGTGTTGTAGTACTAGGCCTGCCTGCACTTGTCCCCCGTCTCCAGAAGAATGAGTTTTTTTGGGTCTCTTCATTCAGCAACCCTAAACTTAGGATCTGATGCAACTGCACTACTAATATTATTATTTCCTTCACCTTTGGAAAGTATTTCTTCAACTAGTTTATGGCCAGGAAAAAGCTGGTTATAAAGAATATTTCCATTCAAAGAATAGCCCAAATTTTCTATTGAATGTGAAGAGCTAGCGCCAGCATTGTTTGCGAGATCAAGAACAACTCCAGTTGAAGGAAAAAGAATAGGGTTTATGTTTCTTAGGTTTGGAACATATGGAAAAGGTGGATATATCATATGAGGGATGTTGTAATATGGGAAATTTGTTTGGTTTAAGGTTGTTATTTCATTACACATGTAGGAGGCTGTTGTTGATGCCATTGCTGCTGCACCTACTGGAAGTGGATGATTGTGTGTTCCTTCATACGTTGTGATCAGTATTGACTTGTCCTCCAAACACCTTTGCACCTAATACATTACATATTATCAGTTTCGTCTCGATTTTGATTTTTCAGATCGACCTGGTCAATTCGATCCTGTACAGACTAAAGTTGTAAATAAGTACCTGCTTTCTGACTGGGCAACCAGGAGCTACCGTGCAACGATAGTAGGCTCGAGGGCAAGGATTTGCTTTAGCAATCTTTTGTCCATATTTTCGCCATTGGCATCCATCATTCATCTGATTAAAAATGTACACATATCTTGAAAAGAAGGTCTCAAATATATTGTCTTGTGAAATTAACTAGAAAATGAACTCAAACTCACAGTGGCTGTTTCACATCTGGCCCTGACAGAAATTCTAGCTCTTTTATCTGGTGGAGAAGTAATTCCAGGCCTTTTATAATTACTTCCTTGTACCATACCTTGAACTGGTGCAAATCCTGTTGTACCTTCTATATTCTCCTTCATCGTGTTGTCTTCTTCTAATTTCTTCGAACTGGTTCGTAGTGTCAAAGATAACCCTAATTCATCATTTTCTTCTGTACCAGCTTCTTCTGATGCTGATGACAGCACCCTTTGATTCTTGATATGATCAAACATCTTTGTACTTTCTTTTGGCCCTTGACTCGAATCACCATCATCTCCTTTGAGCATAGATAATTTTTTTTCCGAATCCTAAATCGAATCAGCAGTACAAGTGATTTACAGACAAAAGACATCAAAATTCTAATTAATTAATTTACCTTGTTTTGTTGGATGATAGCAAATCTTGTTTGAAGATCATAATAATCTTTTATAATTTGTTCTACAGCTTTGCTTAATATCTTGTTCTCCTCCTTCATATGATTCATCTTCATCTGTAGGATTGATATCTGATAGAATTTTACAGATAAAAGTAAAAAGTAGCGCATGCAAATTTGATTATGTATTGCATATATAAACTGAAAAAATTAATTAAAATCAACCTTTTTTTTTTTACAAAATTCTAATAAATTGTACCTCTTCAGTAATCTTAGAGTTTTCGGGCTGGAAATATCCCGTTCGAGCTTCTACTTCTTCGACTTGATAGTTCTTGGATTGCGGGTTTTCGTCAAGTTGGAGGGATAGATCAATTTCCATTTTATTGCTTTCTTCTTTGCTCCCCATAGAAATTAAATTGCAACACTCACACACGCTTCTCTCTCTTAGTGTTGGCACCGAAGTCAATTCCTTCGCTTCAATGAAGTATATAATTGGACATACAAAGACGCATCTAAGTTTTGACTTTAATTAAGCCACCAAGCTAACAAGAATAATGCGATAATAGCATTGAATCTCTATGTTTTGGTAATTGCTGAAATGACGAAACTGTCCCCTTGACGTTGTGTCATTCTTAGTTTCGTCGTCTTGAAACATTTACATCGAATAGACGATACAAGTAAAAAAAAAGTGCGTGTTATGCCCTTGTTTGGTTGATTTCGTTAAAAGATAAATTTTTTCTTATAAAAGTTGATGAAATGTGTGTCGAAAATTTGTGGGTTCCAAGAAACGTGTGGTTAAGATTAGTTATTAATTTTAACTTTGGCTCTGTTTGATTGCTCTTTCTTTTCCATGGAAGATGAAAATTAAAATTCATTTCCACATTTTTGTATATTTGATTGACTAAATTTTTCATGGAGTTGGTTTTCCACATTTTCTTGATTTTTGAGAAAAAGTTTTTCCCACGAGTTTGGTGGGAAAAGCTTTACTATGCAACCTTTTTATTTTTTTTTTACAATGGAAACAAATTATATCCTCAATTGTAACAAATTATATCCCTTTAATGGACAATTTCCATGAAAAAGCCAAACGAACACAAAAAATCCAAAATTTCAATATTTTTCAGGTGAAATATTGTACCAATCAAACACAATTAATCGAGAATTCTTAGTTAAACAAGTTCTAAGAAATTCAATTCCTCGGAATTCATTTTCTTTCCACAAAAATTCCATTCTTGTAATCAAACATATCCTTAAATTTTTATCATATTTTTTAACTAACCAAATAAGGGCCTAATATCAGGAAAAAAACAAAAATAAAAATACAACGATCAAGACAAAATTATGATTTCATATAAACTCGAAGATAACAACGTTGACTATGGTAATGCAAAACTAAAAATTTGAACTATAAAAAATAATATTAAATCTGACATCATGTTCTCGTAGTATACGAAATCCTATAAATGAAGAATTTTGGGATCGGATCTAGAAAATTGTTAATTGAAAGACAGAATTCTCAACCATTTACAGTTTCAATTGTTTACTTTGTCATTAAATTTCTTATATTTTATTTACTTTTCCACCACTTCTCATGTTAACTTTTATTATTTGAAATTGTACTAATTAATTAAGTTTGTGTTCATTCATTTCTTCACGCTAGAGTTTATAGTTTATTAAAGGGTTTCTTGGAAGCTGGCGTTGAAAATCAATACATTGAGATTGAATATTGTTAGGATGTGTGAAGGGACGGATCCAGAACCAAATTACAAACTCGACTAATACGTTAAAAAAAAAATTATATTCGACAAACAAATTCAGTGGATTGGGGACTGGACCGGACTCCCAACGTGTGCACATGTGTAAGACTGCATGAATTTTTTTCTTTTTGTTATAATTTTTTTTTTTTAAATAAAAAATTAGAGTCGACTTGCATATGCATTTTTCGATTTTTATTTTATTTTAAATATTTTTAATTTCTCACTCGACCTTTGTGTCAAGAGACATGCGAACTCATAACAATTATATTATTTGGAATACTTTATAATGCTATTCAAAGACTTAAGCTTTTAAATTTTTTTGGTGAGATCCATCATCCTTGGATGATTTTTTATAGGAGAAATACGAGCAGTTTTGACTTGATTAAGAGCAAACCAACAAAATCTTTTTATTATATGAAATATCAAATATATATGTAGTCATGGAAATCTTTCGCTTTCATCACATGTAATTCGATAATAGTTATATCTTAATAATAATAAAAAATTGCATATAAGAATAAAAGTTTGTCTCCCTTCTCGACGAAATAGTAATTCTATTATCTTTACAACTAAAAATTACACAATACGTGAATGAGAGGGATCTATAGTAGTTGACGGGACATTGGTGGGCAAACTTCTCATGGATTTGAGCCAAGCTTGGACTGTATCATTGTGCAGGCTATGTATAGGTAGATGGAGAGGTGGCTGGAGATTGCGAATTTTGAAGTCAAAATACATAGTTACTAGTTAGTGTAAAAATTGTCACTGAATTCTTCATTTACGATATGAAGTTAGCCAGACTATAGTTTCTGTGGGCTTATTGGGCCTATTTTGGTAGTTCTCTTTAACACCTTTAGGCCAATTGCTTGACCCGGTTTGTGTGCCTATCTATATCACTTGGGCTTGGCATTTGTGAGATACTTCATTCCCGGTTTTCCTTCTAGGGCATGATTACTCCTCTGTCCCGTTTCTCCCTCTCCTTTCGAAGAAGCTGGCAGCTTCTTCTCCTCCCCTTGATATTCACTGTTAGCCCATGGTTGAGAGACTCCGGTGTATTACCTAGGCGTGAAATAGAGCTAGGTTAGGGAGGTTTCTTGTGAGGCTTAGGTATGTGATTAGGGCGAAATTCTTGGCTGATTTGGTAGACTGTTCAGTCGATGATCCAAGCCAAGGTTGAAAGAGGTTTGGTTGGTTCTTGATCTCTCTCTGGACGGCGATTGCAAGGCGTGGAAGGGCTGTTCCTGAGCCTATGCCATTCGACCTTGAGAAGGGGAGAACAACCTATGAAACGAGGAAGAGAAGGCTGCATTCCTGGATGCTAAAGGGAAGTATCTTTCTACCGGTTTCTGGCCTTCATTTCTGTCTGCCTTTAATGTTCTGTTCAGTTTTTTATAGTTCATATGTTCTGTTGATATGCTAATGATAATATTGGATTACATTATTGAATATAAGAGATGTTGTTTATACATTTCTGTTTATCCTTTAAATGCCATTGTTACATTGTTAATGCTGATTTCTGGATTCTGAGCATGGTATTGATTTGTCATTGGTAGATGTGCCTATAGAACTGATTTATGCTTGTATTGATTTTCCGCATTTAGGCTGTTTATTCCCAACAGTTTCTTTGTTTTCCTCCAACTTGACTTCTCCCACCTTCCTCAAATCTCAATGAAGAAAAAATAATTTGTTATCGACTCTTTTCATGTCTTCAAATATGACCTATAAAAGTTTGTTCTTTGTAACCGTGCTCTTTGTGAAGGTCTGTATGCTATACACTGACATGCTTACTTTTCCAAAAACCGTGATTTCCATTTTCTTGAGCACGAGTTGCTTGGGTTGAGATTGGATCGACCCCAAGTTCAAGCCCAAGCTTGAGCTCAGCCTCGCGAGCTGAGTTAGCTCACAAATTTCATCAAGCCAGGCCAAGTACTTTAATTTTAAAGGAAAAATTATGATAAAATATGTTTTCAAAAAATAAACATTGAAAAAGTACATATATTTTCAATCAGTTTTCAAAACAGATTTAAAATTAATTTTTTTTAATCATAAATATATAAACAAAATAAATTCAAGTTTGAAACATAAAACAAATTAATTCATGGCTCACCACCTATCGAGCTCAACCCATTACGAGCTAGCTCATGGGCCAAGCTCATTCCCCCCTTATTTTAGCTCAATGAACTGCTCAACACTTGGCTCTATGAGCTCAGAGTTGGGCAAGATGAATAGACCTCGCTCAACCTATTGTCATACTTGTAATCTCGAAATTGGAAGAAATTATAATCTGGTTTGTAGGTCGATACTATTGTCCCCAGTGGAATCATCCTCATATGATGTGATAGATGGTGTGAAGTGAATTGATAAGACCAATTAAATTTGTAGTATGGGATCCACTTGATTTTTTTAATCATCTAATAGTATTACATGACATGGGGATGATCCACACAATAGGTACATATAACATTACTCGAACTAATGAGTCATCAAGAATCTTTTAGAAAATGAAAAGATTTAGTATAAACGAACAACCTTCTCGAGAGGGTGAGTGCATAAACTAGGTGAGTAGTTGGTGGTATCACACCCTTCTCAATGAAACCATATGCGACACTCTTGCTTCATACAACTCCATCTAAAATCAAGACCTCCCCTTTCATTTGACCAATGGATTATCAAACCAACATGTCCTCTCTTTCCATTCCTCGGTAAGTAGCTTTTTAATTCATTTACTGATTCAATGTAGCTTTAGCTTGATTCTGTCTAAGTCCAAGCACGAGTAGATCTAGTTGCCATAAGCGAACTTCCGAGCCAAAAAGGATCCAGATGACCGTTCTGGCACAAGTCCTGATCGCTGAATTTTTTCTTTTTTCATATAATAAATAAAAAATTTCAGTTTGAGAAAAGCCCGATTGAGATCAGTATTGATATTATTTTGCTATTTTAGACAGCATATTATTCATAGAGTTGTGCTACAAGTACATGGATTTTTTTACATGAGGGATGGGTGGTGTGTTTACAGGGAAGACACGGTATTTGGGGTGGGGTGGATTTTTTATTCTTATTTTTCAAACATGTGGGGCCCACCAGTGTCTCCTGTGAATTGCCTCCTGTACTTGAGGCATTTCTCTTAGGAAAAAAAATATATATAAGATCTACATTACATACCATTTCAAAAATAAGAAAACAATTTTAAAAATTCTAAAATAAGATATTTTAACATATACATACACATATATATTCATATATATTTTTATTTCTATATATAAATATATAAAAAAATATAAAGATATATGGTTAACCCACCCCACCTCCACGACCCCTACCGTTTCGGCGACTACTTCGATTCCGGCGACTATCTTGGTGTCGTCGTGGATGGCGGCGATGGGACCTCCAAATGCTGTGAATTAGGGCAGCATCGCAACGTTGTTGCCCCCTGCGACGTAGGTCTGCTGAGAAAGGAGGAGAAGGGGAGGAAAAGGCGTCGCCGGCAGCAGCAACGTCGAGAGAAGTCGGGAATGAGAGAAGGCAGGGTGATTTAGGGTTGATAATTAAATTTTTGGAGGAGTGGGTGTATAGAAATGATTTTTTATAATATTATTATTAATATTTAATTAAATATAAAAATTTGTATCTATCTATAAAATATCTGAAAAATTAAAATTCATTTCCACATTTTTGTATATTTGATTGACTAAATTTTTCATGGAGTTGGTTTTCCACATTTTCTTGATTTTTGAGAAAAAGTTTTTCCCATGAGTTTGGTGGGAAAAGCTTTACTATGCAACCTTTTTATTTTTTTTTACAATAGAAACAAATTATATCCTCAATTGTAACAAATTATATCCATTTAATGGACAATTTCCATGAAAAAGCCAAACGAACACAAAAAATCCAAAATTTCAATATTTTTCAGGTGAAAAATTGTACCAATCAAACACAATTAATCGAGAATTCTTAGTAAAACAAGTTCTAAGAAATTCAATTCCTCGAAATTCATTTTCTTTCCACAAAAATTCCATTCTTGTAATCAAATAGATCCTTAAATTTTTATCATATTTTTTAACTAACCAAATAAGGGCCTAATATCAGGAAAAAAACAAAAATAAAAATACAACGATTAAGGCAAAAATATGATTTTATATAAACTCGAAGATAACAAAGTTGACTATGGTAATGCAAAACTAAAAATTTGAACTATAAAAAATAATATTAAATCTGACATCATGTTCTCGTAGTATACGAAATCCTATAAATGAAGAATTTTGGGATCGGATCTAGAAAATTGTTAATTGAAAGACAGAATTCTCAACCATTTACAGTTTCAATTGTTTACTTTGTCATTGAATTTCTTATATTTTATTTACTTTTCCACCACCTCTCATGTTAACTTTTATTATTTGAAATTGTATTAATTAATTAATTGAGTTTGTGTTCATTCATTTCTTCACGCTAGAGTTTATAGTTTATTAAAGGGTTTCTTGGAAGCTGGCGTTGAAAATAATACATTGAGATTGAATATTGTTAGGATGTGTGCAGGGACGGATCCAGAACCAAATTACAAACTCGACTAATACATAAAAAAAAATTATATTCGACTAAAACAAATTCAGTGGGTTGGGGACTGGACCGGACTCCCAGACCCGCCCCGGACGTGTGTGTGCAACCGTGTGCACTTGTGTAAGACTGCATGAATTTTTTTCTTTTTGTTATATATATTTAAAAAAAAATAAAATTAGAGTCGACTTGCATATGCATTTTTCGATTTTTATTTTATTTTAAATATTTTTAATTTCTCACTCGACCTTCGTGGTCAAGAGACATGCGAACTCATAATAATTATATTATTTGGAATACTTTATAATGCTATTCAAAGACTTAAGCTTTTAAATTTTTTTGGTGAGATCCATCATCCATGGATGATTTTTTATAGGAGAAATACGAGCAGTTTTGACTTGATTAAGAGCAAACCAACAAAATCTTTTTATTATATGAAATATCAAATATATATGTAGTCATGGAAATCTATAGTAGTTGACGGGACATTGGTGGGCAAACTTCCCATGGATTTGAGCCAAGCTTGGACTGTATCATTGTGCAGGCTATGTATAGGTAGATGGAGAGGTGGCTGGAGATTGCGAATTTTGAAGTCAAAATACATAGTTACTAGTTAGTGTAAAAATTATCACTGATTTAGATACGATATGAAGTTAGCCAGACTATAGTTTCTTTGTTTTCCTCCAACTTGACTTCTCCCGCCTTCCTCAAATCCCAATGAAGAAAAAATAATTTGTTATCGACTCTTTTCATGTCTTCAAATATGACCTATAAAAGTTTGTTCTTTATAACCGTGCTCTTTGTGAAGGTCTGTATACTATACACTGACATGCTTACTTTTCCAAAAACCGTGATTTCCATTTTCTTGAGCACGAGTTGCTTGGGTTGGGATTGGATCGACCCTAAATTCAAGCCCAAGCTTGAGCTCAGCCTCGCGAGCTGAGTTAGCTCACGAATTTCATCAAGCCAGGCCAAGTACTTTAATTTTAAAGGAAAAATTATGATAAAATATGTTTTCAAAAAATAAACATTGAAAAAGTACATATATTTTCAATCAGTTTTCAAAACACATTTAAAATTAATTTTTTTTAATCATAAATATATAAACAAAATAAATTCAAGTTTGAAACATAAAACAAATTAATTCATGGCTCACGACCTGTCGAGCTCAACCCATTACGAGCTAGCTCATGGGCCAAGCTCGTTCCCCCCTTATTTTAGCTCAATGAACTGCTCAACACTCGGCTCTCTGAGCTCAGAGTTGGGCAAGACGAATAGACCTCGCTCAACCTATTGTCATACTTGTAATCTCGAAATTGGAAGAAATTATAATCTGGTTTGTAGGTTGATACTATTGTCCCCAGTGGAATCATCCTCATATGATGTGATAGATGGTGTGAAGTGAATTGATAAGACCAATTAAATTTGTAGTATGGGATCCACTTGATTGTTTTTTATCATCTAATAGTATTACATGACATGGGGATGATCCACACAATAGGTACATATAACATTACTCGAACTAACGAGTCATCAAGAATCTTTTAGAAAATGAAAAGATTTGGGATAAACGAACAACCTTCTCGAGTGGGTGAGTGCATAAACTAGGTGAGTAGTTGGTGGTATCACACCCTTCTCAATGAAACCATATGCGACACTCTTGCTTCATACAACTCCATCTAAAATCAAGACCTCCCCTTTCATTTGACCAATGGATTATCAAACCAACATGTCCTCTCTTTCCATTCCTCGGTAAGTAGCTTTTTAATTCATTTACTGATTCAATGTAGCTTTAGCTTGATTCTGTCTAAGTCCAAGCACGAGTAGATCTAGTTGCCATAAGCGAACTTCCGAGCCAAAAAGGATCCAGATGACCGTTCTGGCACAAGTCCTGATCGCTGAATTTTTTCTTTTTTCATATAATAAATAAAAAATTTCAGTTTGAGAAAAGCCCGATTGAGATCAGTATTGATATTATTTTGCTATTTTAGACAGCATATTATTCATAGAGTTGTGCTACAAGTACATGGATTTTTTTACATGAGGGATGGGTGGTGTGTTTACAGGGAAGACACGG